GACGTTGTCAGGCATGCATACAAGCACGTGGGGGCCACACAGACTACTGAGGACCATTCTGAGTTGCTGCAATGACATTTCACCAATATGGACTCTCCTGCTGTATCATTTCTTCACTTTGATTTTTGGGTGTCTGTGAATTCTGTAGGTCGTCCTTACGTTCCTCACCCATCCCCCGTCCATGTCAGTATAGAGATCCAGCAGGAGGTTCCTCCCCATTGGGATCTGATGGGTTCTCAGAGTCTTCCTTTCATTTTTTTTGAGCCGTGTGTATTTTATTGTTATTATAATCAGGGAACCTTCTGCACAGAATGCATGGCTATGGGGTGCTAGTGTGTGCTGGAGGGGCTGTAGGGTCTATTATTGCTGGCGTGGATCTATTTGCTGCTGGTGGCTATTTTGCTGATGGGAGTTTATTGTTTCTGGGGTAAATCTGGGGTGAATCAGTTGTTGCTGGGGGTTATTTTGTTGTAAATGGTCCATTGTTGCTGGGGTTGGGGGGGGGGGGATCCATTGTTGCTGGTTTGGATCTAGTTTTCCTGGCTGCAGGGGATCTATTTATATTTTTATGTTATCATTAAGAAAGTCCATGCAAATAACTTTGTAGAAAATGACTTTTTTTCAGGGCTATTTTTCTGTGGGAATGTAAGGGGCCACAGTTCCGGCACCTCCAGTACAGAATGCATGGCTAAGGGGTGCCAGTGTGTGCTGTAGGGTGGGGGTCTTTTGTTGCTGAACAGGTCTATTGTTGCTAGGTAAGTTCTATTGTTGCTAAGGGGGATATTTTGTTGAAGGGGTGTCTATTGTTGCTGGGGGATCTGTTGTTGGGGGGGGGGGGGGTATTTTGTTGTAATGGGTTCTATTGTTTCAGTGTTAGATCTATTGTTTATGGGGGATCTGTTGTGGTATTTTGTTGCAAGGGTCTATTGTTTCAGTGCTGGCAAATCTGTTTTTGCTGAAGAAGGGGTCTATTGTTGCTGGGGGGAACTATTGTCGCTGCATTAGATCTATTGTTGCAAGGGGGTATTTGTTGCAGGGGATCTTTTGTTGCTGGGAAATCTATTTTTACTGAAAGGGGTCTATTGTTGCTGGGGTGGATTTATTGTTTTGAGGGGTTATTTTGTTGTAGGGGTATATTGTTTCTGGGTTACATCTATTGTTGCGGGGGCTATTGTGTTGTAAGGGGTCTATTGTTTCTGGGTTAGATCTATTCTCACGGGGGGTATTTGTTGTAAGGGGTCTTTTGTTTTAGGGTTAGATATATATTTTGCGGGGGGCTATTTTGTTGCAAGGGGTCTATTGTTGCTGGCAAATCTGCTTTTGCTGAAGGGGGTCTATTGTTGCTTGGGGGTCCATTGTTTCTGGGTTAGGTCTATTGTTGTGGGGGTATTTGTTGTAAGGGGTCTATTGTTTCTGGGTTAGATCTATTGTTGGGGGGGGGGTATTTTGTTGTAAGGGGTCCATTGTTTCTGGGTTAGATCTATTGTTGCTGAGAGGTATTTTGATGCAAGGGGTTCATTGTTGCTGACAAATGTTTTTTGCTGAAGGGGGTCTGTTGTTGCCGGGGTGGATCCATTGTTGCGGGTGGTTATTTTGCTGAAGGGGGTCTGTTGTTTCCGGGGAGGATCCATTGTTGCGGGTGGTTATTTTGCTGAGGGGGATTTATTGTTTCTGGGGTGAATCTATTGTTGCTGGGTGTTATTTTGTTGTAGGTGGTCTATTGTTGCCGGGGGGGGTCTATTGTGTCTGGTCCGGATCTACTTTTCTTGGCTGCAGGGGATCTATTAAACTGCTTTTTGTGTTCTTATTAAGAAATTCTATAGAAATCACTTTGTAGAAAATGATACTTGGTTCTGTATTCCCTAAAAGGTTGAATATGGAGCCGAAAGGAGAGTCCAGAGTCCAGGATTACCCCTAGCACCCTGGTGGGTGAGGATGGGGTGATGGTTGAGCCATTGATGTTGGCAGAGAAGCCAGGGGAAGGGGCACGTGGGGGAGGAAATATTATGATCTCCGTTTTGGATACATTGAGTTTGAGGAAGTGGTGTGACATCCAGGCTGACATATCAGTCAGTAAATTGGGGATACATGAGGAGTCCGATGTTGTGAGCTGAGGGGTAGAGCGATAGATCTGGGTGTCATCAGCATAGAAATGATATTGAACGCCATGGGAGGCTATCAGCTGACCCAGAGAGGAGGTGTAGATAGAGAATAGGAGAGGTCCAAGAACAGAACCTTGCGGGACCCCAATGGAGAAAGGACGAGGTGTGGAGGAAGAAGAATTGTGACTCTTTTGCAATCCCCTCCTAGTTACATTGATAGGTTAGGCAAATTTAGTTTGGCTCCTCTATAGCCAGGAGAGAATGTTGATTGCTTTTGGTTCTTGTGGGTTCTACAGGTTGCACGTTTGATTGCTCCTCCCTGCATTCCAGAGCTCTCTTGGAGGTTCTGGAACATAGGTGTGAAGTAAGCAAATAGTCAGCCTGAATATTCATGCAGCCTCAGCCAATCCCTGGTCAGGAGCGTGACCAGCAGGGGGCTGAGGTGTGCATAAATAGTCTGGAACCTGGAACAGCAGGGTACTTTGCCTGTTGGAGAGAGATCCAGCCTGGAGGGGCTGCCTGCCCTCCTGGACCATCCAGTAGAGCTACAGATGGTTCAACACGGTCCCAACTGAGGAGAACTGTCTGGAGCAACAAAGTCTACAGAGGATCTGGCCAGGAGGCTCATGGCTCAGGGTCTGGCCTATACTGGAAGAAGGCATCTGTGTATACAGGACCACAGTGAGTAAGGGCCTGAGGGAGTTCTGGGATTCACTGTGGCTGTGTTAGGCTTTTTTTGGGTGAGACTGTTCCAGAGTTTGCTGGCTCAGGGCTGTTTCCAGTCTGGGATCCCCCGGATGCTGAATGTCCACATCCTCTTATTTTAGAGATCTACTTTGAAGAAGTTAGTTTTGTTAGAGAGTGTCCTCAGTTCAAGTTGCACTAATTCTGGAGTATCCCAAGGCTCGGCCTATTTCCCATCCCAATAAACTAAAAAAAAGAAACTTTGGCCTTGTTATTGAGTGGGGAGGATGAGAAAATGTGGTGTGCCTGGCTGCCATGCTTCCAATAGGGAAGAGAACCTGGGACAAACAGCAGGATCAGTTTGGAGGTTGCTCTACACTTTTTCTTTTCTTCACTGTCTTCCTGGTTTCTGACCTAGGCCAAAATTATGTCACACATACCAGGAGTTTTCATGGAAGGAGGAGGGGCTTTCTCAGCTAAGCACACCCTCCTGTCTGCATGCCTGAGCTAAGGGCAGATGGATTTCAGAAAGTAAATGCTACATGAACCATCTGCCCTTACTCAAGATGAGGGAGGTGTTTTTCAAAGTGGTTTCCCAATAAAATAATTCATGGAGACATGGATGGGGGAGTATGAATGAATGCTGTGTAAAGATCATGAATATATTGCTTGTAAGGAGGAGGGGGGGGGCGGTGGTGATGGTTGTTTGTCCTGTCCTCCATGTTCCAATCCTCGTTATGCGCCGTTGTTTGTCCTGTACTCCATGTTCCAATCCTCGTTATGCGCCATTGTTTGTCCTGTACTCCATGTTCTGATCCTCTTTATGTGTCAAGCGAGGGTTACTCTAGAGGCCTACTCTGGGGTGGGTTCTTCTGGGTTAGGCTGGACACCTTGCACAGGGTCACCTAACACATGGAGTACCTTTGCTATGTGTCGTCTGCACCAATGCCCTGGGACAAGGATGAGGCTGCTGTCAGGGAATACTTGAACCTCTGTACCTCTGTACAGGATGGGATATCTCTGTGGTGCGACTCCACTCCTGATGCTATGGGAGACAGGCCGCTGGTGGAAGGAGTGTCTCCTTCACTGCTGGATCCGTACCACCTATAACAGGCACTCACTATCGACAGGCTGCTTGTTACACTTCCATTGCTCTTGACAACTAGTTATGTCTTCATACTACTCCATTCCACAGGAAAACCTTCATACCCCAATATGTGAAGACCCAGTTGATAACTGTGCTGCTTACATCTGCTACACCTCTTTCAGTAATTTCAGACCAGGTAAGGACAACATTTCAATACTTTACTGAGAAAAGTGCAAAGTGGTACAAAGTCCAACAAAAGAACAGTCCCTTTTCCTAAGTCACTAATCCTAAGTACAGGCCTAAGTGCTGCCCTGGCATACCTACAAAGGTATGGTCCAGCAATTACAGTCCTTCAGAGACACTCTCATGCAGATGCAAGTCCTTCAGAGGCATGTTCCAGTGCTGCTGTCTTCTGGGTGCACCCCAGGTTCAGATATTTTTACAACCAGGCAGTAATGAATGACATCCTTCTGCTCCTCAACAGTATTGTTCTCTGTCTCATTCCCATACAGGTTTTGGACCTGATGCAGGCCCTGGTCCTCCCCTCCCCTCTTGGGCTCTCCACAGGGAACAATCTCTGAACCTTCCCTGACCACCTCTCTGGGGGGTTCTGCACGTACTGGACCACTGTCCTCTATCCTTGGAGCTTACAATCTAGGAGGGAGGGGTTAGTGGTATAAAAGGTAGTAACTGTGGGGGATGGAATGGTTGGAAGAGTAGAGGATTCCAGTATTAGCTGAGAGCAGGATAGGCTTCCCTGAAGAGATAGGTATTCAGTGATCGCCTAAAAGTGAGCAGAGTAGGCGATAGTTTGGTAAATTGGGGTAGAGAGTTCCAGAGGCTAGGGGAAGCTCTGGAGAAGTCCTGGAGATGAGCATGGGAGGAGGAGACAAGGGAACTAGAGAGTAGGAGGTCTTGAAAGGAGCGGAGAGTATTTGGAGACAAGATTGGTGATGTAATTTGGGGCGGAGTTATAAATGGCTTTTCATGTTATTGTTAGTGTTTTGAATTTTATCCGTTGGGCAATGGGAAGCCAGTGGAGGGATTGGCAGAGAGGGGTGGAGGACACTGAGTGGAGGCCAGTGGAGGGATTGGCAGAGAGGGGGATGGAGGACACTGAGTGGAGGTCAGTGGAGGGATTGGCAGAGAGATGTGGAGGACACTGCTTGGAGACCAGTGGAGGAATTGGCAGAGGGGGGTGGAGTACACTGAATGGAGGCCAGTGGAGGGATTGGCAGAGGGGGGTGGAGTACACTGAATGGAGGCCAGTGGAGGAATTGGCAGAGAGGGGTGGAGGACACTGAAAGGAGGCCAGTGGAGGATTGGCAGAGAGGGGTGGAGGACACTGAATGGAGGCCAGTGGAGGGATTGGCAAAGAGGGGTGGCGGATACAGAATGATTAGTAAGGTGGATGAGTCTGGTAGCAGCATTCATGATAGACTGAAGAGGGGATAGTCTGCGATGAGGTTGGCCAATGAGGAGGGAGTTACAATAGTCGAGGTGAGATATGACAAGGGAGTGAATAAGTTGCTTAGTGGTTTTTGGGGTTAGGAACGGCCGTATCTTGGAGATGTTGCAGAAGTTGGAGATGTTGCGGAGGTTGGAGATGTTGCGGAGGTTGGAGATGTTACGGAGGTGGAGTCTACACGATTTTGTCAGTGATTGGACCTGGGGGTGAAAGGACAGATTGAAGTCTAGGATTACACCTAGTACCCTGGCATGAGGGGAGGGACTGATGATTGTGCTATCGATCTTGATGGAGAAGTTGGGGGAGGGGGCACAGGCTGGGGGGAATACTAAGAGCTCAGTTTTGGAAAGATTGAGCTTGAGGAAGTGGAGTGACATCCATGCCGATATATCACAGGATTAGTGAGCTGGACTCAGAGAAGAAACCAGCAAAAACCAAAAAACTGGGAAAGGCATTAACTCCTACCCTCCCAGATGGGTCAGCACTTCACTAACTATTTCAACCCGTCCACATGCTAGCTCAGTAAAATTGTTAAGAGGTTGCTCAAGTGGACATTTCTCCATTTCTGGTGGTGGGCCTCAGGCTGGGTGCATGTGAGTACCTAAGATGGTGGAGTCTCTCCCTCTAGAGGTATACGCAAACCCTAAGTCATCTCTGAGCATAAAGGAGATGGGAGGAGCCCCTGGCAAGCTTGGCGGGAGCTAGCCATGAATCAGGGAGGCTGTCACCCCGTCTGTCCTCCATGACTTGCAGAGGAAGATGAAGATGGATCTTTGGTGACTCCATTACTTGCACCCATACTGGTAGCTTTTGAAGAATGGCTTATACAAGGCAAGGCACCTGTTATGGGGGTAAGATTAAAAACATTTAACAATCTGTCTCCAATGTTCCACAATGAAAAGGACCAAATAATCCAACACAAATACTTTTGAATGCATTAACAAAAGACACGTAAACACAGCGGTCTCCTGAATTCACTGAACATACGGCACCAACCAGGTTCTTCTGTTTTCTTTACAGACATAATAAAGCAAGCTGGCGATGTCTGACTCTCCTGACCTGCAACCTAATTATGAATTCATCCTGGTTATGGTGACATTTGAAGAAAACTCTTTTCTCCACTGCTGCATTCATTCCGACTAATTATTATAATGCTCTAATAATATATCTGACAAGTAGTATCATTTATAAAAGGCTCTTATTCCCCGAACACCGGAGACATGACATGCAGAACCAAGACGAAGCCGTGACAGGCGGAGGAGGCAGAATAAGCTATAGTAGGTCAATGAATTCTGATGGCAGTCCACATAATATCCTTCTTCTGCTCCATTTCAAGGAGATTTGCTTTCATAACGAGAAAAAGATCATGTAAGAGTGATGGAAGTACAAAGAAACAATTTCTATGAAGGACAGATACATACAATGGACGACGTATGGTTTGCACGCCTGCATTTGTATGACGGTATGAATACTGAAGCTCACTCTGCTGCAGGTCAAGTGCAACGTAAACCACACTATATTGGACAAAAGGATACCAACCAAACCACACAACCTGGAAGAACTGGTTTTCATGTTTTCTTTGAAACCCCCCCCCCCCCCCCACACACACACACACACACACAGTGCAATTACAGGTGAAACTTGAAAAACAAGAATATGGTGTAAAAGTTGATTTATTTCAGTGCAGCAACTTAAAAGGTGAAACTAATATATGAGACTCATTCCATGCAAAGCAAGATAGTTCCAGCTGTGATTTGTCATCATTGTGATGATTATGGCTTACAGCTCATGAAAACCCCAAATCCACAATCTCAGAAAATGAGAATATTCCATGCAATCAATAAAACACGGATTGTACATAGAACAATATCGCACCTCTGAGAAGTAGAAGCTGCATATGTACTCAGTACTTGGTTTGGGCCCCTTTTGCAGCAATTACTGCCTCAATGCGGCGTGGCATGGAAGCTATCAGCCTGTGGCACTGCTGAGGTGTTATGGAAGACCAGGATGCTTCAATAGCGGCCTTCAGCTCTTCTGCATTGTTCGGTCTCATGTCTCTCATCTTTCTCTTGGCAATGCCCCATAGATTCTCTATGGGGTTCAGGTCAGGTGAGTTTGCTGGCCAATCAAGCACAGTAATCCCACGGTCATTGAATCAGGTTTTGGTGCTTTTGGCAGTGTGGGAGGTGCCAAGTTCTGCTGGAAAATGAAGTCAGCATCCCCATAAAGCTGGTCTGCGGAAGGAAGCATGAAGTGCTCCAAAATCTCCTGGTAGACGGCTGCGGTGACCCTGGACTTAATGAAGCACAGTGGACCAACACCAGCAGATGACATGGCTCCCCAAATCAACACAGACTGTGGAAACTTCACACTGGACTTCAAGCATCTTGCATTGTGTGCCTCTCCATTCTTCCTCCATACTCGGGGTCCTTGTGCCTCTCCATTCTTCCTCCATACTCGGGGTCCTTGTGCCTCTCCATTCTTCCTCCATACTCGGGGTCCTTGTGCCTCTCCATTCTTCCTCCATACTCGGGGTCCTTGGGCCTCTCCATTCTTCCTCCATACTCGGGGTTCTTGGGCCTCTCCATTCTTCCTCCATACTCGGGGTCCTTGGGCCTCTCCGTTCTTCCTCCATACTCGGGGTCCTTGAGCCTCTCCGTTCTTCCTCCATACTGGGGGTCCTTGGGCCTCTCCATTCTTCCCCCATACTCGGGGTCCTTGGGCCTCTCCGTTCTTCCCCCGTACTCGGGGTCCTTGGGCCTCTCCGTTCTTCCTCCGTACTCGGGGTCCTTGGGCCTCTCCATTCTTCCTCCATACTTGGGGTCCTTGGGCCTCTCCATTCTTCCTCCGTACTTGGGGTCCTTGGGCCTCTCCATTCTTCCTCCATTCTCGGGGTCCTTGGGCCTCTCCATTCTTCCTCCATACTCAGGGTCCTTGGGCCTCTCCATTCTTCCTCCATACTCTGGGTCCTTGGGCCTCTCCATTCTTCCTCCATACTCTGGGTCCTTGGGCCTCTCCATTCTTCCTCCATACTCTGGGTCCTTGGGCCTCTCCATTCTTCCTCCATACTCTGGGTCCTTGGGCCTCTCCATTCTTCCTCCATACTCTGGGTCCTTGGGCCTCTCCATTCTTCCTCCATACTCTGGGTCCCTGGGCCTCTCCATTCTTCCTCCATTCTCGGGGTCCCTGGGCCTCTCCATTCTTCCTCCGTACTTGGGGTCCTTGGGCCTCTCCATTCTTCCTCCGTACTTGGGGTCCTTGGGCCTCTCCATTCTTCCTCCATTCTCGGGGTCCTTGGGCCTCTCCATTCTTCCTCCATACTCAGGGTCCTTGGGCCTCTCCATTCTTCCTCCATACTCTGGGTCCTTGGGCCTCTCCATTCTTCCTCCATACTCTGGGTCCTTGGGCCTCTCCATTCTTCCTCCATACTCTGGGTCCTTGGGCCTCTCCATTCTTCCTCCATACTCTGGGTCCTTGGGCCTCTCCATTCTTCCTCCATACTCTGGGTCCCTGGGCCTCTCCATTCTTCCTCCATTCTCGGGGTCCCTGGGCCTCTCCATTCTTTCTCCATACTCGGGGTCCTTGGGCCTCTCCATTCTTCCTCCATACTCGGGGTCCTTGGGCCTCTCCATTCTTCCTCCATACTCGGGGTCCTTGGGCCTCTCCATTCTTCCTCCATACTCGGGGTCCTTGGGCCTCTCCATTCTTCCTCCATACTCGGGGTCCTTGGGCCTCTCCATTCTTCCTCCATACTCGGGGTCCTTGGGCCTCTCCATTCTTCTTCCATACTCGGGGTCCTTGGGCCTCTCCATTCTTCCTCCATACTCGGGGTCCTTGGGCCTCTCCATTCTTCTTCCATACTCGGGATCCTTGTGCCTCTCCATTCTTCCTCTGTACTTGGGGTCCTTGGGCATCTCCATTCTTCCTCAGTACTCGGGGTCCTTGGGCCTCTCCATTCTTCCTCCATACTCGGGGTCCTTGGGCCTCTCCATTCTTCCTCCATACTGGGGGTCCTTGGGCCTCTCCATTCTTCCTCCATACTCGGGGTCCTTGGGCCTCTCCATTCTTCCTCCATACTCTGGGTCCTTGGTTTCCAAATGACATGCAAAAGTTGCTCTCATCAGAAAAGAGGACTTTACCACTGAGCAGCAGACCAGGTCTGTTTTTCTTTAGAACAGGTAAGACGCTTCTGACGTTGTTTGTTGTTCAGGAGCGGCTTGACAAGAGGAATACGACATTTGAAGCCCATGTCCAGGATCCGTCTGTGTGTGGTGGCTCTTGATGCACTGACTCCAGCCTCAGTCCCCTCCTTGTGAAAGTCCCCAACACTTTTGAATGGCCTTTTTCTGACAATCCTCTCCAGGCTGCGGTCATCCCTGCTGCTTGTGCACCTTTTTCTTCCACACTTTTCCCTTCCACATAACTTTCTATTAATGTGCTTTGATACAGCACTTTGGGAACATCCAACTTCTTCTGCAATGACCTTCTGAGGCTTTCCCTCCTTATGGAGGGTGTCAGTGATGGTGTCAGGTCAGCAGTCTTTCCCATGATTGTGATTCCTACTGAACCAGACTGAGAGATCATTTAAAGGCTCAGGAACCCTTTGCAGGTGTTATGGCTGAATGAGCTGATTAGAGTGGGACACTTTGAGCCGAGATTATTCCACCTTTTCACAATATTCTCATTTTCTGAGATTGTGGATTTGGGGTTTTCATGAGCTGTAAGCCATAATCCTCACAATGATGACAAATCACGGCTTGAACTATCTTGCTTTGCATGGAATGAGTCTCATATATTCGTGTCACCTTTTAAGTTGCTGCACTGAAATAAATTAACTTTTGCACCAGATTCTAATATTTTGAGTTTCACCTGTATATTGGATAAAAGGATACCAACCAAGCCTCAATAGGTTTTGTTGAAGGAAACTCACAAATACTCATGGGTAGGAGGGTGAGGGAAAATGTAAAATGAAGGGACTATGTAGAACAGGGATTCTCAACCAGGGTTCCATGGAACACTAGGGTTCCTCCAGAGG